TATTATAATGGTGTTTTCCATCCAGTCCAGTCTCCATCTTCAGTCAAAACTTAAACAAAAATATTCAAGTGAAATTGTTTTCCAATTAAACTGATAACAAAACAATTTAACAATGTATTTAAGTCTAATAAAGAGTGAAATATTAATAAATGAGACATATTTGATTGGATTATTCTCAGTAAATGTTGGTAGCAGGACGCCACTCCACCATGTTGAGCAAAAGGTTCCTCAGGGATGTGTACTCAGTCCTCCTTCACTCTGCTGAATTCTGATCAGCTCGTTCAACCTGCTGATACAACAGTGAAATGACTCAGCAGGAATGCTAATAAAACATCTTAAAACTCTACCTCTCTGAGAAAATCTCTCAAAATTGCAATAAATTTTAAAATTTTCAGTTGTTTCTGATTTCTGAGCATTTTCTGTGTCCGCAACTAAAAAAAAATCACATTTATAAAGTTAACATTTTGTTTAGCAGATGTGGTTTTGTTCACTTAGCAGAAGCTAACTGGTCTCCCAACAGTTTCCAAAGTTGAGTTCTTCTAATCTGCTAACAGCTAATAGTGAAGCTAGCGTTTTGGTTTGGCTGTGCCCACCTCTGTTTAAATCTGGTGGGCTTGCATCGACGCTGAACGCTACTGAACGTGTTTGAAAGTGAAGCGACAGGAACGAACGCCTCTGTGGGACCTGTCAACGTCTGGAGACGTTCAGAGGACTCACGGGTCCTGACCAGTCCTGGTCAGACGGGTCCTTCGTCTTAACTTGGTGCTAATCTGTTGCAGCTTTGAAAACACAGAAATGGTCGTATTGATCGTCAACACTGAGCGCTAACACAAGATGATAGTTTAAAACTTGTTTGCTTTGGTTTTTATTCAGATTAAAGTTTAGTGTTGTGTTTTTGATTCAGCCGCGTTTGAGTTTTTATTGAAAAAACGTGATAAATATAAATCAGTTTAATTTTTTTCTTGTTTCAGCTGTTTTCTGCTCTCGGCCTTCACATAGCAGAAGTCTTCGTCACTCAGATGTTTCCTGTCTTCTGAAGTCCATCTGTCCTCTCTGGGATCAGCGAAGCCTCTGAACACAACAACAAACCCAGTTTCTTCTGTTAGGGTTTTTTTTTTTTTTCAGTTTTTTCAGATGCTGTCAGAGTCGAGGTCTGTTAGAGGGGCTCGTTTCCGAGGAGCTGAAGTGACGTCCGCTTCACATCGCAGCTCATTTTACTGACATGATGAGGTTCAGGTGATCCACAGCTGCAGTTTAATAACAGCTGAGTCATCGAGGCTCCGCCTCCAGCAGCTGAAACCGTTCATCAAATCTTTATTTCCACTTGTTTTGTAAAGTAAAGAAGCTGCTGTGGTGAAACTTGGTGAGCAGGAGTTAAAGAAATGTTTCCACGTGGGACGAAGAGTCGTGATGATGATGAGAGGAGGAGAAGAAAGATGGAGTGAGGAGGAGGAAACAGAGGAGGCGTTCAGAATGGGAAAAAAAAGAACATCTGGAAACTTCTCAGGTTTTATCAAGATGTTTGGATTTTATGGTTTTATTTGAAACATTTTAGACAAGAATATTCTGATTTATTACGACTAAATCCTGATCGTTCAGGCCTGAAGACGACCGAAAGTTCAGTTTCACAAGAACAGTTTCTCTAATCCCACAGAGACGTGGCGTTAACGTCCTGCTGCCAGCAGAACCAGAACCTGGACCCCTGAACCAGACCTGAACTGATCCTTCACGAGTCCAAAGCTTTTCTCCCCGTGTGTGTGTGTGTGTGTGTGTGTGTGGTCAGAGGAAATTAAAGGAGGAAGACACACAAAACACTTGTTTTCTTTTAAAGTTGTCTTTAATTAGAGGCTTCGTTCCAACAGATTATGAGTTATTTAATCTGCTGCAGGAGATTATCTGTCATCCAGAACTGCTCGGTTTAAAAACAAAAGAAATGTATTTGTTCAACTTTTTAACCTTTTTCTTTAAGGAAGGAGGGAAATGAAAGCGATGATGGGTCCAGTCTGCAGGTTTTAGAACTCCTGACGTGTCCCAGTCCACCACAGGGACACCTGGACAGGACCCTGAAGAACCTGGAGGAAACCCAAGCAGAACCCAGGTCCAAACCAGGACCCAGATCTGAGGGTTCTGACCTGCAAACATGACTGGATCAGACTGGACTTGCATCACTAGGTGACAGGTTTTTGTCTCCACGTCTCTGAAGCTCCAGGACGATTTAAAAACTTCTGAGCGAGAACTTGGAGGATGTGATGGAAGAAAGTGAACAGAACCAGAACTGGACTCAGACACGTTTCTGTTTGTGTCAGAGGTCAGTTTAAAGCTTCAACAGCAGAAAAAAACACAACAAATTGAGTTAAAAACAAAGACAAGGATGAAAACACTCACCTGTGTCTGTTTTTAACTCAACTTTAAGCTAAACTGAGGCACAAGC